GTTAGTACTTTTAATTTCCTCAACAGGTTTCACTTTCAATTATCGTGCTGTTGTGATGGGCACTTTGCAGAAAAAACTGAAGGTAAAAATATCAGAGAAGAAAACATCAAGTCTGAAACAGACTTTCAGAAACCATAAGATACTTAACCCTACCAGGAGAGGATTTAAACATGCAAATGGTTCTTTCTTGGTTCTGAAGCAGGACTGCTGAGGTCCTCTGTTGCAAATTGAGTTTTTCATCCCTTCTCCATTGTGCAGCAACAGCTGCGTCACAGTTTCAATCACTAACATAAACTGGGAAAGGCAGGCATGAAGGAGCGCCTGGAGGCAATTAAAAGATGAAGTATGCACGACCAAGTTATGTATTTTTTCAGCAGGTACCATTTAGTAAAGCAATGGCTCTCTTGAAATGTATTTAATGTTTTCTTACTTGTTTTCAGATTCTGTTTTTTCATAATTAAGTCAGACTCAAACTAAATGTATAACAAAGAAAATACCACTAGACACAACCTTTTCCTCTTTTTTAACATCTGTATATAAGTATAGAGACCAATATGCAAGACACTGTAGCTTACATGAGTTGTTAATTAAAAAGACCATGAACTCTTATAGAAAATCTGCAGCAATTAAATTTCCTTAGCTGAAAAGAAGGAAGGCACAGCACTTTCTTTCACAGCAGAAAAAGATACGGTGTAAAAGATACCCAGACGTCCCTAATGGCCTTTGTAGAGTAAGATGATTTACATCCGTTTCCAACATACTGTAGCTGTGTCGTAGTGCTAAAGGTACAGCACTTTGTCACTAACTGGCTCGCATGGTAAAGACATGTCCCCAGCATGCAGGAGTATTCCCAGATGAATGGGAAAGAAAAGAATGACATGAGGGTGAGATGACTTTCACTGGGATACTTGAAGCTGAGAGAGGGACTTGAGTTACATTCTTCAGCAGATCCACTCTGAAGAATGTAGTAAAAATACAAACCAGGCTCCCTCAGACACAGACCACCTGCTAGCCAGAGCCAACAGTCACAAAATTATTTATGATAGTAAGGTGTGAGGAATATGGTCTGGTGTGTATACACACTATTTTGACAACTGATTTAAAACAATTGCCTCAAACACTCACTGAAATATTCATTTCTAGCAAGGATATAATCTTGCAATTTCAAGATGGCCAATTATTTTTTTCCATATTTGTTCAGCTGGAACAGAACACAGAGTAACAGAATGTGCTCCATTGTTGGACACTGGCTCCACATGGCAAAGAGGGGATCTTTCCACGTGAAGACATCGTCACTCACACCCTTTTCATTCTGAACCCTCCACTAACCGAAACTCTATAGGCACTAGTCATGCCAAATAAGATCCCTGAGAAAGATAAGAGAAAACTGAGCCAGCTGAAATTCAAGCCTTTTAAAGATTTCACAGATAAGGTAAAAACAGTATTTTGGCTAGAAAAATCTTAAGGTTTTTCTGTCAATCTAGAAAAATCTATAAATACTTAATAGCATTCTCTTCCTTGAATTCAGCTAATCCTGGATAATCACTTTGATATTATCGTTCTTTTGGACTTATGAGCAGCTCTTGGAACTAATATAATTGAGCCAAGTTGAGGTGCTAAGGGGAGTTTCTATTTATAAAGCATACAGTATATACTTATATATAGTTTTTCCTGTTTGGTTATAATATTACCATGATGTAAATTATGCTGGGGATTGAAACTAAAAGAACAGGTTGTGCCAATACTTGTTCTCAACTGTGCACACAGGGACCTATGAGATGGACAAACACCCACCAGGAGCTACAGGGTTTGTGTCAAACAACTAAACCCAAAGATAAGAGCTCAAAGCCCTGTATACAACTGGCACAACTCCAAACAATTGACAGAAAAACGTGAAACCTGCCACTGGATAATACAGCATCATTATCAATTAGTGAATCCTAAATTGATTTTGTTATTGTTGTTTTCTAAAAAGATCACTCTTGCTCCTCCACAAGTCTGCTCTTAAGTCTGTCAGCTCCAATTATAGCTGGTTGCTATGCCAGCATGTCAGACGTGAGCTCCCTAAGACTGCATTTCATATGAGGGTGCGAGTATTTGCTTATTCCTTGGTGCCTTCTGGCTCGGGCTCTTCCTGTCTTCAGTATTTGTGTTTGTATAACCTTGCTTGTGCCTCCACTTTCAATACAGCCGGAAGGCAGTGGCTACCCAAGCACTGTGTGGCAACAGGAGCAGAGACATAGAAACACACTGCACAGCAGGCCGCACTCAGAGGAGCACCTCTCGCCAGTCTCCTAGCAAGCCGATCCGCCCCTCGCTCGGAGAAATCACTTCCTCCAGCTGCAGACCAGGGCAAAGAGAAAGACCGTCAGAGCTACGGCACCAGGAAGGCTGAGGCTTTAGGCGAAATTAAAAAAAAACAGCACTTCCATCCTGTAAAGGAATTCTGCCACTCCACTCCATCCCTGAAGGAATCTGCACAAGACGAGGTAACAACCTTCAAAGATGGACTAAACTGTTCCAATTAAAACATAAAAATACAGATTTGACTAACGGCAAGATCCCGGTGATGAAATGTCACAAGGTACAGCAACCCAGACAAACCTCTCAGGTGGAGTTCTCCGGCTTGTACCTTGTGTCATTTTCATAAACGTTACAAGCACATAAGATGAGAGGATGTTTCTGAAGGCGCTTTCCCATAGTGACCTCTGTGAAGTTTTATATGGGAGAGGCTTGGTGAAGCCGAATGTTCTGGAATAAGCAAGAACATCCAGTGTTCAAATTTTCGAAACCTTTTAGCATAAATTTAAACCAAATCATCAGGGATTAAGTTCTATTTTGATATCCAGGGACCCAAATTCAACATTTTCTCACCTCTCATTAGCATAACAACATTCTTAAAAGCTGTAAGGAAGTATGCAATTACTGACTCCATCTGGTACTGTATATATCTGTATGTCATAAAATTGTTTTCACATCACAGTTGTCTTAGTGATGCTAAATGTCTTATATTTACTTTGGGATCCCAGTTTTCAATCACTAAATATCTGGGATATACTTTTCCAACATGGCCAAGCAAATTCAATGACTACAATCCTGAAAAGATTCCCTTTTAAATGAAAATGTGGCAATACCCTGTTTTGTTGTGATCAAGGATGTAGGAACCAACCAATCAATCTTGCTTGATTCCACACATGGGGAGCATCTCAATACTCACAGGCTGAGAAAAGGCCTTTCACTTGAGAGAGACCATTTTCACTTACTGACTCTACATGTGGCAGATGCCAAAGCTCTTTCAGATGTCCTGCGCGTCATCCGCAGTATGACTATGCTGGATAATGGAGGGATGATTGGAAAATGACCCACTGGAACTGGTAACACAATAAGTACAGTGCATACTGACAGGGCAATGACAATGAACTTGGTGTTATGCTGATGAATGGTAAAACAATGGTTTACAGGCCGAGCCTTTTCTCTGCCTCTCTTTCAACACTGCACGTCTACAGGATCGCCAACAGATTCTCCTGTTTGCCCCTTATCTCCATCTAGTACTGATTCCACTGCACGCACAGCCTCCTTCACCTCCACGTTGCGCACTGAAGGGTCGGGGGCCGCTTCTGGCCACTCAGGCAGCTCCTGGTAGCCCACAGCCTTGGCATTGAGCAAGTGGGAGAGAGAGCCAAGCTGGAAGTGGTCCCGGTCTGCAACACAGAGCAGTTCCTCGTTCAGCACAAAGAGAACATTGACCATGCAAACGCAAAGCAGACGAGCACACAGGGTGGCACGGGTGCGGAGATTTCACCCTGTGCTGACTAAGCAAAAGTAGAGCCGCCGAGAAAGAGAAGAAAACGCTGAGCATTCAGTTAAATCAGGCCATGTCAGGCCAGCAACTCCCAACAATACTGGAGAGTTCGGAACGGCTGCTTGTTAAGCTGCTGTTTAGTTGAGTTGTTTAGACAGCTGTCTTGTTAAGTGTCTCATAAGGGCTGCTCATTTTCATTAAGATGAGATATTAAGATGAAAGATCAAGATATTAAGATGGCACCTATTAATATTGTCTCATTCCCTGGGTGAGTAAGGTAAAGATAACATACAGACATAAATCAAAATGAGTTTAAATTAAGATTAATTAACAATCATAAAACATGCATTTTTGGGACAGAAATGCCCAGTTAAGACAAATTTAGAATACATTTTTTTGCTATCATGGGTCTTTATCCAATGACAGAAACTGTCGTCAGATCTGAGAAATAGTAGCAGCCTCAACAGTGTCATTTGCATGGAAATCGGTATGGAACGATCTGGCCTCTCTTCTCTCTCAGCGTACAGTAATGTCTGCCTCTGGCCTCTGGTACCTTTGAAGGGAGATTCCAGGACTGGGGCGGGCTTGAGGGCGAGGAACAGCTTCTTGGCATGTTTGCTGAGTGCACCGCTCTTATCAGTGGGGACAATCAGCTGGCGGATGAAGCGAGCCCGGTCTCTGATGTCATAGTTCTGGTCATACTTTGCCAGGTTGAGGACATACTGGGTGAGCAGTTTGGTCTGATGGGTCAGAGGGTCAGAGAGGGAGCAGACTATTAACTGGAGGGAGACAGTGAGTTATGAAGAACAAAAAATAATTTTGCATTAGGTTTTATACTTTGGTTTTAAAATCCTGGTTTTTAACATGCTGTGAATTGACCTGAATCTTAAATTCAGCCAAAGATAAAGAAGGCTGTTTCTGAAGGGACAAGCTCCATTACTTTTGTGCCACAGCATTAATGCCCCTGGTAATGACAACCCCTAAAAGGGCCTAAATTATTGTTGATGTAACAATGACACAGATACTTCACTCTGTCTCAGAATACCCCAAGTAGGTCACGCCACAGTTTTTCTATAAAAAAAGATCAGCCTATAATCTTAAAACCCTGTTTGGTTCTCTGTTGTGTATTATAGATTGACTTAGAGTGTTTCAGCACCCTGGACAGTGTCCTGTTATGACAAGGGTTTTCAAAGGCAGTAAGTCCTAAACAGAGAGGGAATCGGCATCTTTAATAAAGCATCAGGATTCACAAGCTAGAAACTCTGCTCCTTTGAGATTAAGATAATTAATAACTGATGCTGTTCAAGGCAGTATAAACTTTTTTGTTTTTTTCTGTTAAGACTATTGATGATAAATGATGTTTTTTAGCAACTAACTGCCCAGATGATGAAAAATGAATGATAATGATCACAGCAGCAGAGAAATGACCAAAAATCTCTGTTTGCTGTACAAACACAAAGAGATAAAATTATTGCACTTTGCTGTGTTTGTTCTTCCAGACTCTTAAATGTTCTTTGACTGCAGCCTTTTTAATTAGCATTGGTTTCCATCGTAGCCTAGTCATGCACCAAGCTTTAACACTCCATTGCAACAGGAAAGAGAATGCACATTATTCTGAGCACAATAAAATGACAGAATGTCAGCAGCACTATACTGTAGCTTCCCAGGAAGACCAACATTATTCAATTGCAATGAATCAATAAACACGACTGCTTCTGGAATTGACTTCCCCAAATTTAATGTAGCATATTTTTAAGTGGATGTTACTGATAACAGATCGGAAGCAACTAAGATGAAGAAGATACAAAACTACAAGGGCTCCAAAAGGTCATTAAGCATTACATCTCAGTTAAGGGATTAAAGACTATTAGATATAAAAAATCAGATTCATTTTCCTTCAGGTGTTTGGTTCTTTTGTTATAAAGGTCTATGAAACAAACATTCACTAGCTGTGCAGGTATGCTGTCTGTTTGGATACATTTGGGAGGGGAATTTACATGGTATAATGATATGGCATCTTTTAATCCCACCAAACTACTGCATACAGGAAAGGAACAAAGGACCAAAAGTATGGCAACTACAGGCTTATGACAGGATGTTTCTTCCTACTAGATTTTGGCAAAAAGAATAAAAATGTCTCACACACATGCAAATTTACAAAGCATTCTGAGAGAACAATACAACTGTTCTCAGAATGGAAGAAATCATTGTAGCTTTACTTTGGTACCTGTTTGGAGTTGGTCAGGTACAGTTTGGCTGCCAGGTTGATAATCTGCAGTTTGACAATATCCTCTTCACTGGTGAAGGACTTTGCCATCTTCCTCAGCACGTCAGGAGCTATTTTGGGGACATGTTCACAGTACTCACCAATCAGCCACAGAATACTGGCTCGGGCCATGGGAACCTGCCCACAGGAAGGACAGAAACTGGATGTCATTGTCACAGTGCATTGGATTGATAACAAGACTACTGATTCTAATCGTAACTGACTGACTCATCACTGTGGTAAAAGTCAGTCTCTTGAAAGCAACAGTCTACTGATGATCGATCTAATGTTCTGTGCAATTAATTTTCATTTAATTCCAGGAAGTGTAATATTATCGGGCATGATATCAAGGAGGGTTTTTACCAATGTGGTCAGATTTAGTTTTAATCACATGGTACCGTAAACTTAAAGGCAGGTAAGATGACTGGTCAATTTCATTAGCTTCCTCGGCCCTGCAGTCACACAGAGGGCAAGAAAAGCACCTGGATGTTGTCGGTGAGTTTCGCCATGTGCTTGATGATGTCGCTGTGCTGCGCCGGCTGCATCTGTAACAGCTTCTTTATCACGACGACTGACTCGGCCACGACAAGCTCTGGAATACAGGTCACACGCGGTACTTCAGGGCACAGCAAAAGAAATGGCAGCTAATGCAGAGCTGTGGGTGTCGGAACTGGTTAGAACTGGGAACAAGTCATAAAGAGAGGTACAGCACAAAAACCAAGATTTTAGATTCAATGCTGAATTTACCCTGAAGGGATATCTTCAGTAAGCTGAAATATAAAAAAAATAAATAAAATCCCAGTGAATCGTTACTCTATGATACAAAAGACATGTACAGCTGAGTTGGATTACATGACTAGATTTTCAAATCTAATCTGTTTTCTTCAAGAAGGAATTGCAATTTAAAAGGATTGTGATCAGAATCTCCTTTGTGCTCTTGACTTGTCTCCTTTTCTGTTTTACATTCTCGTGTTTGCACTCTAAGTACACAGGGTTCACTGTTGTCATCTCTGCATGGGGTTTTACTGTGGTCACTGTCAAAGGGCACAAAGAAAACTTCTAAGACCCGGAACTACAACGTCCTCTCCTTCAGAAGCTGCATGCAGGTTCACTGGGAGAGCTGAGCCCTGGAAGGGGGTCACACTCACCATCACGGTTGGACAGCAGCTGGACCAGGCCATTCAGACAGGTGTCTCTCACCTCTCCAATATTGGTGGCACAGCGACCAATGGCTTGGATTGTGGCAGCTACAAAGTCCTTGTCCATGCTTTTGATGTAGGTCTGATATGTACAAAATACAAAATCATATTGCACATGTTCCTACAGTAAATAAAGCTACATGTGCACTACTTGAGTAATCCATGACCTACAGAAGAAATTTTAGAAGATTTCCTATAAGGGATCACAGAACCAGATTAGTGCATTAATACATGCTCACCAGTTAAAAGCAATCAAACTTGACCTTGTTTCTGGTAGAAATTTAGATTACGTTACCTGAAATTCCCTCAAAATGGTAGATATGTTGGTCTCATTTGCCAAATTGGTCAAAACCTCTAACTGCAAACGAAATAAAAGCAATGTTAATCAGAACAAACCTGCACCCAACTCTCATTTCAGTTAGACGACTGTTTCTTAGTGACACACATCACATTCACATCACTCACATTCAAATGATTAGTGATTCAAACACTTATTTGTACACACATGGAAGAACGTGTAAATCTTTGGGTTCAAAACTTAGGGATGACCACAACACACCTTTAGGACTTTGATCTGGGTGGGGTCTGTAGATCGGATGTAGAAGCTCTTTAGGTAAGGTTCAAACATTCCCTGAAATAGGACATACAAATATAGCCTTGAACTCATTTCACCATCCAAGGCCCTTTTTATATTAACAGCTAGGAAAATGCTCAGCAATGTGCCCTTCTATTTGTTTTTGGTATTTTTGAATGATGTCTAAATATTAATGATTACATTTCATAAACATGAAAAAAGTAAAAGTTAAATGTAAGGACCTTTACATTTAAAGCCTAAGAAAAGTAGAGTTATTTATGTTCTCAGTCAATAGTTTTTCAATTGACAAGTGAGATGTACTGTAGGAACACCAGACATATACTGTAAGTAAGACTACAAAATTCTACAACAAGTCTACTAAATATAATTATTTTTATAATTAACTAAATATAATTAACTTTTTGTTCTTTCTCTAGCAGAGGGAAAATGCAAAAAACAATACAATTATAAAAAGGAAACATTTATTTAAAAACTCACCCTGCGTTTGATAGACATTGTTGCCACATTCTGCAATACAACATACTGGACTTCACTGCAGAGAGAAATACAGAAGACTGGTCTGTGAGTCAGATTTTTACAATAAGTTTTAGTTGATTTTAGACACAAAGTCTAATCAACTTTTTAGAATATTTTACATTCACCACAATGAAATTTCACTTTAATTGTGCAGAAAAGCTTAGGAAAGTTGAAAATCTTAGTATTTTAAAGAAACAGCACTTTACATTTCCTAGAATAAAAAAGCCATTTAATATACAGTAGTTGTTTATAGCTTTTAAAAATGGAAGAAGGTATTTTATTTTTGTCCTGTTTTTACAGCTTATTAGCAAAGCACAATTAAGCTCATTTTATTTTTTTAGTTGTCATAATATAAAAGAGAAGGCTTTTAATCATTAACCACGTCTGTAGGTACTTCAGAATAACATAATAACATACAGTATACAATATACAATATAGTGTAGGTCTTTTTTGTTACATGGATGGCTATCGAGAGATAAAGTAGTACATGTTAAAAAACTAAAACATGGCCTAACCAGCTCTCATTTTTAACAGAAGTTTAAGGGATACACTTAACTTAAATTCTTCCCTGTCTATGCTGACAAAATACTTTAATCAGGGGTGGTGAAATACTTTAGTGTCATTGTTAAAGCTACCAAGATAAAAACAGTTGGCTTTTTAAATGACTCCACTGGCTGTTTGTTTAATCTCAGAGAGAGTATCCTTTGAAAGTCGTCTCACTCCATTTCACACAAACTGTTTTAGTTACAAAAGACATCAAAGGCAGCTGACACAACCATAGGTTCCTCCATGACCACAGGGCACTGTCATTTCATGGTGACATTTACGTGGCAGAAACTGATGCCCCATTAACATCGGGCTTTCTACAGGCAGCGAGAAGGCCAAAGTCATGTGGTGTCTGCAGATGAAAGAATTGAAAAAACTGGGACCTGCAATGGATGGGTGACCATAGCTGGGCAAATTGAAAACTCTTTTCGAAAAGTCTATGCATCCCAGGAAGACAAATAATGTAAAAAAGGATCTTCAACTTGATTTTATACCAGACATAATAGGAATAAGAATAAGAATAGGAATAGGAATAGGAATAGGAATAGGAATAGGAATAGGAATAGGAATAAGAATAAGAAAAAGAAGAAGAAGAAGAAGAAGAAGAAGAAGAAGAAGAAGAAGAGAGAAATTGTATAGTTCGGATGCATAGTATAGAATACAGTTTTCTTATTATAATGTGTAAGTGTGGGGTGATGTAAGGAAAAGCAGCCCTACCTGTGACTCCTCATGAGGCGCACCAAGGCCTTCGCAATGACGCCCACCTCAGCCTTGGGGGCCAGATGGAAGTAGAGCTGTGCCACAGCCATGACTACCTGCACAGAGACGAAGCATGCCTTTACAAGGATCCCCTGCACACAGACACACCACCACCGTTCCCCGTTATACGTGGCGACCCAGGAAGAGAATTCACAGATCTCCTAACAAACAAAGTCATGACTTCCAGCTTCCCGCGTTCTCTCCATCCAAGGCTGTCCCACAGCACTCTGCCCCCTCCCTCTTCCTCGGTCACTCCGGGCCGCGATGAACCCTCCCTCCCTCTCACTCAGGCTCTGGCCCTCTTTGCGATGACAGCCACCCTGCAGCCGGCACTGACCGCAGCGTTGCGGCTCTGCAGCAACGGCTTGGTGTTGCGCAGGAGGAGCCGGTGGTCGGGGTCCATCACGTATGGCTTCCTCCTGGGCAGGGCAGCTGCCTCGGCCTTCTCGTCCTTGCCCTCGTCCTCATCGGAGCCGTAGAAGGCTTTCTCCGCGCTCTCCTCCAGGAGAGACTCCTGCGGCACACACAGCGGTCAGACCACATGACATCACGGTATTAGTATCTCCAACAGGCTGCGGCGCGACAAAAACCATGAGGGGGAGTTTTGATTATTCTAACAGCTAGAACACTGCCACGCCCTTTGCAGGCTTTCCACTTCTATCGTGTTCTGCACCTATGAGTGTGATGATGGATTGATTGCTGCCTGTTATGCCTACTGGCAATGTTACTGTAACATAGTTTTTTATGGGACAGGGTTGTTAGCCTCGGGCCCAACCTCCAACATGGAGGACTTGGTGCCCGATGTGGGACACGAACCTACTACCCTCAGATTATGAGTCTCATGCTCTACCAACAGAGCTAGTCAGGGCCGTGATGAGTGTGAAACTGTGGCAAATATACAGGGGCCCCAGACATGGACACTTTTTAAGGGCTGAGCGTTATCTCAGGAAGACTGGATGGAGGTGAGCGGACAATATTTTAACTTGAAAGGGATGGCAGTGGGTGGGGTGAGGCTTAGGTGGGACGTTGTTGACGTTTCGAAGGCCTCGTCGATGATGGAGGGTGTGGCACCCTCCTGTGTTTCAGGAGGAGGACGTCGCCGAGAGGAGCACTCACATTTTGGTTGGGGTTGAGGAACTGCGTCCGGGCATAACGGGTGAGCATGTTGATGATGACGACCTGGCCCCACTCCTCCACGTCGATCAGCAGGTTGCACAGCTTTCTGTAGTTCTTGTGAATCAGGTCGATGCGCTCGGGACAGACCTCCTCAAACGCCATCACCACGCTGCCTGCCACCAGCTGGACACAGGGAGGCAGGGAGGGACAGCTGTTCAGCAAACACAGCCTGCACCTCACAGCACTACGGGATGACAGGCCTCCTTTGATCTATACATGATGCCTTACAATTATGGATCGATTTAAGTTGTAGTGAAATGAAACCACTCTGACATCAAATGACTCTATACCAGGCAGCATCAATCTTCTTGTGTATCATTGCAGAGATGCATAACCGTTTCTGTGTTCTTTTTGTTCTCTTGTAATTAAATGCCCGAGGCTCTGAGCTGAAGTAATAATCATGAGGTACATCACAGACAGAATAGATAAAGACAAAAACGTGCTTTGACTTAAAAATTTTGAGATTTACCTCCTTTTTTCTCTACACAAAATAGAATTAGCAAAATTGATATACGACCCACATACCAACAATAAAAGCTCTAATGGATACATGTGGTATATAAACAAGAAGGTAGACTGCAGATTGCTTTGCCTAATTTGCCTCATAAAATTACAACAGAAAACTAATGATGTTATGTAAAATAATTCCCTTTATATAAACTGGGAACAATACCCAGAGGCCAAATTGCTCTGGATACTTTGTGAAAACGACATCCATATCAAACAATAATTTCCTGGAATGCTTTTAACGTAAACTCAGATGTGGAAACTTTTAATGACACAAACCACCATGGAATTCTAATTTACACTGCTGTCCTGGCAGTTGTGTGTCAGAGAAGTGGTTAGGGCTCAAGACTGCAGGGGCATGTGCTTAAATCCCAGGTGGGCACACTGTTCAACACCTGTGAAGTCAACTTACCCTGATTTCTCCATTGGCCCTAGTTGTGTAAATGGGTACCAACACTGGCATGTTACATAACTGTAACCTCTGTAAGATGCTCTGGATATAAGCACCTGACAAATAAATGGATGATCACAATATTGTCTTACCGTGGTTTTGTCAGCCAAAAGCTTTTCAATAACCTCGATCAACTGGTCCTTCTGGTCCGGATCCAGACTAATTAAAAGAATCAAACACAGTAATTAGGAGGAGAAGATGTGCTGCATTGCTCTTACCTTGAGCTAAACTCCACAAAGTTATACTGATTTCAGGCTGATCTCACTAAGATGAGAAGCAAATTAAGCAAGCCAGTGGTTCTGGTCCATGACTATATATTGTAACACAGCCAGTTGCCAAACTACCAATGCCTTCATTGCATAGCTCACGTTGTTCATGCAATATGTATGTTTTAACATGTTTGACAGCTGCAGATCCCCAAACTAACACTATTACTATCGTCATGTACAGTGCTGATCCATACTGATCCCCACAGCCTGGTACCTGTAGAGTTTGGGGATGGCATGAGCGGCTGTCTTGCGCACGTAAGGGGACATGTCCGACGCCGCCTCTTTGATGGCCAGCATCATGATGGGCACGATGATGGTGACCCTGATGCTGGAGAGCACACGCAGCGCACTGGCGCGGATCAGCTGGTTGGGATCCTTCAAAGAGAAACATAAAAAAAAGGTTTCAGGTACCATACTTCTCCAGGGCAGCCCAAGGCTCACAAGGGCAAAGGCAATACGGTTTATGGATGCTGCAGTCAAGCCCAATAACAAAGTCAAAGGTTAGAAACTCTTCTGCCTGTCACAGGCCATCTAACCCTGACTCTGTCCCTGACCCACTGCGCATTTCATACCATGTATTTATTCCCTGGTGCCTCACAGGAAACTGACAAGACTTGGAAGATCATTCTGTTCATTAATTATTAACGACCAATAAAATTTGGGATTATAGGCTAAATTCTAAGAGAACACCTGTCTATGAGACTGGTTTTCATTATTGCATAATAAATGCTCTGGCCAACACTATAATCAGATATATCTAAGATTTCAATCAGATTTTATTGGGGGGGGCGATAAGCTGACTCACAATTCCAGTGAAAACATTTTTTTCAAGGGTGTTAAAAGGCAAATCCAATGATTATTTTATTTGTACCGAGTTAACTTAATTCTTGAATACATGGGTACATTTTCACCAGATGCTGTGGCTTAAATCAGTGGTCCTTTTGTACTGTGCAACCTGAATTAATGGAGAATTTATTTTTTGAATCTGGAGCCATAAGATTTCTATAACTGAAATTTAACCTTACAATGCAATTTTAATAGCTTCAAAACCATTGTTTTGGTGCTTAACAGCTCTGGGATCACAGTGACGTGATAGTGAATTAAACCCAGCCTGTAATGGCACTTGGCCAATTAATGATATACAGAAATGACACAGCACTTCTAAAAAAGCCCTCTCCCTGGGACAGAGTATTGATCATTTTCCCACTGTGCGCTCAGCTGACTTAAGGGAAAGGACCATCTGTATTAACTGCCACACACAGAGCAGTCAGTACCAATGGCACTTAAAGTACACGGATTTGCTGGAAGAGGATAGAAAAGGGCTGGAACCTCTGAAATCAATCATTGTTTCATTTCACACAGGCAATCAAGTGGCCTGAGCGCAGACAGTACTGCACTTACACAGGAAGGCTGCAATCGCAGAATTAAACACGCCAGGGATACAAAAAGATTTGTCTGGTGTTGCTGAAAAACTTGGCATTCTGAAAGCCCCTTTCAACAGAGCCTAATAATACTTAGGAACTGAGCAGCTACAGTAAAATAAGAGTAGTTAGGGGAAACAAAAACAACAGAGGCAGATACATGGTAGACTGATGGCTTAATCATTTCACATTTAATAAGCAGACATTCTTCCATATTAAAATTGCAGTATTTCAGATATATGCAGTGTTACAACAATCTTTGCTATTCCCCCCAAATGAACTAAACCCCTTCAATCTCTGATTTTGCATTCTTTTAATTATGATTGAGGGAAGGCTAGAAACTTTTTGAACACCGGCCTTTTGTGAGATTACTGGATGAAAAGGTAACAAGTACAATTGCACTCTACGGAGTAGCCAGACCCAAGACATGGTTGAATCATAGCATCCCGGTTTTATTAATCCTCCTGTCGAAGAACTTCCTGTGACCACTGACCTTTAACCCCCTCTGGAAGGTCGAAATGGAGAGCAAAGCCAAGTCTTGTTGTTCTTCTGCATATCTAACCAGGTACACATACACTAACTTCTTCACCTGTGTAGAGAATTCTTGTTAAAATAGGCCAGCAAACTTCAAGTAGTGAAAAAAATGATTCTGCAGTGTACTCCATATCTGTGCTGTTCTGTGTTCATTGGTAGTACCTATCCTTGCGTGTGGAAACTGTGACTTCAACATGTTCAGCCACTTTTTCTCAGGCCGATATAAAAGGACAGAGCAGGATATGAAAATTAATGGGATGGAATAAGATGCAGCCTTACGGACATGGTAGAAAAAAAATCTCCTTATAGAAAAAGAATAGTGTCATTCTGGGAACCTTTTAAAACCAGTATTGTTAAAAAATGATTGAAAAACACATACAATAGAGAGGCATGGGAAAAAAGCTGTATTACATAACATTAAAATAAAAATAATGAGCTATCTGGACTCTGCATCTCGAACAGATCCAAGTCACCTTGGGTGAAAGCATATGACAAATAAAATGAAAAAATAAGTTGTATTTGACTACACTAATAGTTTTGCTTAATGATTTGCTTAAACCTTATACTAAAAAACATTCCCCTGGGAGGTGTCAAAGATGTGATCATAATCAATTTTATCTTGTACATAGATTTGTATTAAAGAATAAGCAGCTGGGATACAATTTCATACATCCCAATATGATGCTATATAACTGATTATGCCTCTAAAATCATTTATCATAATTTGTTAAGTTTTTAAACTTCATTTTGCACTGTTAATGTCAATGATAGAAGCTTGCTTTCAGTGCAAGGAAGTGTTTTCAATTATTCTTGAACAAAGGAGCTCTGTGGGATACTGTCACTGGGGTCACTGAGCTCACCTCAATGTTCTTACACGCCACATTCTTGACTACTGCGGGGAATAAGTCTGAAGCATTCTTTCCTCTGGCGATCATCTAGAAAACAAAGACACATCCATCAACAACCAGGGTCACCCATAGTAAGGGGAGGCTTAAGGAGAGTTTGAAAACTACAGCCTGTGGGTAGTTTTTACACTGCCGTGATGATCACAATCTTATCACCCTTCCGCTGCTATCAAAACATTAATATTCTTGTTTAAAACACTAAACAGGACAAAAGGCCTTTTAGTGTTTGTTCATAAACAGCTGTTATTATCATATCATGCGGAAAAAAAGCCACTAGCTCCATGTGTAATATATTTCACAGAGGTCAGCGACCTGATGCTGAAAATTATTATTAGAATAATTCCTTACAGTTTTATTGTGCCTGTTTCTCAGAGGTTCCAAGAGCAGCACCCACCTGGGTAATAAGCAGCAGGCACACAACTCCTTTCCAACAAGGTGCTCTAACCCTACCAGTTATTTGAGTCATTTGCAATGCAATACAAAATGCATACAAATTGACAGATTTAAAAAACTCCAGAGAAAACAAACTTTGAAACTAAGGGCTCAGCTATCCCTAAAAGGGTCTCACAGTGTCCTACTGTATACAAACAAAAAAAATATGAATGCAGACCCAAGGAGAATTTTAGTAAAGTCATTATTTGCAACTTGGGGTAACAAAATGCACTCCGTGGAAAAAAATACACATTTGCCTGTCTTTTGTAGCTATGGTGATAGAAATTAAAAATAATGTCTTCCTAATTACTACAGTTGCTGCCTCATTGGTGTACAGATGGAACATGACTCAAGTTCGCTACGTTTTTTTTTGTGATAAATAATTTAGTCCTGGCTGCCCTTCTACAAAGCTCTGAAACTGACACTGCTAATGAATATTTAACACCTGGCTGTGCATTCTCTTTCACTTACTTCTGTCCCAGTAAACACAAGTTGCAGAGACCATAAAACCTGATCTCTCCTTAGCAACAGAGTTTCATGGCCTAACATCTCAGACAGGCCTTCTCTAAGAGGATTTGTCTTCAGCAGAACACATAACATAACAGGTTGGCTGAGCATACATAATAAACGACTCTGATTCACGCAATGTAGGATTAGCAATTCATTTTATATCTGAAAATATTGTGTAAATAAAAGGGCTGGTTACATTAAGCTTTTTGGAAGACCTTTGATTTCATGCATATTTCAATACAAACCTTTTAAATTATGGATATGAACCACAAAATGTCAAATGCCTTTTGAATTACATTTAGACTTCCTAACATTTGACAGATACCAGCTTTTTAAACAGATGATCACCATTATGTCTGAATGCCTGCTTTCAAATGCAAAAGACTTCAGTTCAAAGAAACGGGGGGTTCAGAATAGAACACTTTGACAAGGTAAAGCCGCTGACTGATAAAATAAAGTTTGTGTGGAAACAACTGCTGTAACTCAATCTTCAGGTTCTTAGAAAACAGAGACATGGTTTTGCATCCGTGTAGTTTTTGCTGTACGAATTGTTCAAATTACATTTTAGTCCTGTAGGAAAATAGGTATGGTATGTAAGGTATGTTTATACTTCAAAAATTATTTACTGAATGTGTACATAAAAGTAGTGGAGCTTGTAATACAATTATTGGAAATAGTAAGAGTTAATTAAGAATACTTTTTGTAGGACCACTACTGTAAAATCTGCATATAGTGGCACTGATAAATGTATCTAGATAATTAACAGCACATGCTTAGCTGCGGTTGTAAATATTTTAGATCAAAAACAATAAATGTTTATTTTCTAATCATTGATTTTAAACAGATTAAAAATGAATTAATTATTCCTTATATTGATTAGAATTTGCTTCTCTTATACTGTTCCTTTGTGTGAAGCAGAGCCACGCAGTGAATATACTATACAGTGGGGGAGAATCATTTAATTATGGTGAAAGAGAAAAATGACTTGCATTGAAACCACTATACAATAAACTTAATAAACTATTTAGAACTGAAAAACTGGAATGTAAAAGTTATAGAAATACAGCAAATGGGAAATTGCTGCAGCCATTTGAATTATTGATTGAGTACAGAACAAAATCAAAACAGAACTCCGGGATTACACAGAATTCAGATTCATACCACCAGATCTACACAATTCAACAGTTAAAAATATTGTTGCATTAATTCTCTCTTCCATTTGAGTAGTTTTGAGGAGTCATCTAATTACTTTAAATCTTTACATTGGTTATGAGTCAAATAGGGACTTTATTTGAAACATACAGTATGTTAGCATTTTTTATAGGGCACTTCACAGTCTTCTTATAAAGCTGTACATATTTTGGTGAATCTTTAGGATCAACTGAACAAACTTATCTTTCTGATTCTTTTTTTCTTTATCCAAGCGGTTGAGGGAGTATGGAACCTGTTGTTGCTGATACCCTGGTTTCTTTCAAGAAACAGCTGGATGAGACTCTTGGGTGAATTAACTGCTAACTACCAAACGGGCAAGTTCAGTGGTTCTCAAAGTGTGGTCCGCAGACCACTGGTGGTCTGCAAGCATGTGCCAGGTGGTCTGTGGACTGACCTGGTCATCTCTCTTAAATCAAGTCTATGCAGCTCCATTCTTCACATCAGCTTTTTAAGTAATAAAAGCATTTGCAAAATATGCAAATTTGGTCATACAACTATTAGCACTTTCATAAAATGTTATTCAATATTTAATTATTATTAGTGCATTAATAGGTGATGATTTTTACAGGGTAAGAAGTGGACGTAGGCATAGGTGGTCTCACCGCATCTGCAACTTGGTGTAAGTTGTCCTCGGAACTTTGAGAACCACTGGGCTTAGTTGGACTGACGGGCTTCCTCTCTTTGTCACCTTTCTTATGGGAGTTACAATATCATTTTGTAAAATGGTTTTTGCAATGCCCTTTGAGAATAAAGGAAATCACCAAAGATTAGAAATGATGAGCTTGTCTGGGGTATTAGACCTAAAAATTGTTATTTGAAAACTAAAACTCAAGGACTACTTACTGCAACAATTCGCTTCATCGCCTCCAGTTTCAGAGAATCCTTGTTACTGTCCAGCATTTCTTTCAGGTCATCGTGCCTAAAAAACAAAAAACAAATCATGAGGTTTTATATTACTGTAAGTCCAGTGGGAGAATTAGTCATAGCATTAATCACATTTCAAGGACCAGAAACTCTCAAAGAAACAACATTGTCTCATTTAAGGAAGATCTGGAGAGAAGAGGATGTGCTGGCCCAGATCCAGTCAGAATAATACAGCATGAACTGTGTGACATAACAGAACATAACGGTAGAGATTAACACAATTCTGATCGTAGTGTGTGATGATTCGAAGATCTCTAACGAAGAAAGCATATTTTTCAAAAGTTGGCCTTCAACCCGTGACAAAACACAGAACTCACCTCAAAGTGTCCGGTGCCTTAAAACTAAATGTAGAAGAAAGTTATAGCTGTTGTAAGTCATGAGAGTGTTCTGTCTATCAGATCAGGAGGGATGAAAAATTCCCCAGTAATCTATAGTGCTTTCATATGATTGGAAAACTGCATTGCATCTTTTTTTAAATATCCAAATATCTCAGAATTCTCAATATGGCACAAACAATAATTACTGTATGGATTTCTACATTTTTGGCTTAGACATCTGTTGATCAATTCATCCATGTCAAACCTACCACTCAATACTATGAAATCCAGGTCAATTATCTCCCTTCAAACTCTGGACCTGGGACTGTTGTTTTCGCTGCATTTCATTACTTAAACACACTGTAAAAGAAAGCAATCAATCCCATAGGAAAGCCTACACGGTTTACATAAAGCAGGGGAAAATGAGCTATCTTTTTGTGTATTTTGAAATTGAGGTTATGAATGATGCTAATGGAAATTATACCATTACTGTGTGTGTTAATCACGTTTTTCCATCAGTTTGAAAAGAGTCCCAAGAGGTTTTGTTGCTTTAATGGCTGCAACCGTCATTTATAAACCTCTTATCTTTTTTCCATAAAAATCCATGAATCCATGAGGACACAGCTGTCAGGTGCTGCTTTATTCAGGTGTGAACTGCTTGAGGTTTAAGGTGAGCAGTTTCAGAAGCCGCAAGGCATTATTGATATTTTTTTGTAAGTGTGTAATTACCTTCATTTCAATCTCATTTTTTCGAGAAATCTTTATGGGCTGTGCCACATTTTATTGTTATCAGGTCTATGCCTTGTTAAGATATGAAAATAATACTAATCACTCTTTTCTATAAAAATGTTTCCCATTTCATGTACAGTAGTAGAGAAATTGAACTAACTGATGAGAGGGACTGGAGGCATCAGGTACTGCCAGCATGGACTTGATCATGCATGACAGAAACACGGGAATGCCTCAGCTCATGAGCCAGGTCATTTCATTTACCTGCTTCATTTCAGATGCATTTATTTGTTTTTGCACACGCTTACCAGGCTAGCATAAAGTTCTTATAAAGGTTGTGGGAGCTAGGAACATTTTTGAGGTTCACATGCTTGGCTTCTTCAAGAAACTGCTAGACAAGAACCTCGGATAGAAACCCTACTAACAAGCAAACTGACCCAATGTGCTCTTCTGTGAACTTTCTTGAGTTCTAAGATTGCTTGTCAAAGACACTAGCAGACCATAACACTTGAAGAACCACACACTGAAGGCAGTGCTACACTTCTGTATTGTGCATCCTCATCTCAATTACACCAATCCAGTTTCAGAAGCCTTTGGAAATATATTTTTACAGGAATGATGAGTTAGGCTGGCAAAAATATGAACAGAACATATGCACTAGGATGTACAGTACACTAATAAAATGTAAGTAGAATGCTCACCAGTTATCTACTTTGCTGTTTATAAACCGAATGTTTTCTTCCGCAGAAGCACGTTTTGCAAATATAAATTTATTGTAAATGACATATTTTTCCATTTCCTTGCAAGAGATTTTGAACTAAACTCTGTTGCTCACCAGAAACTGACACTTAAATGGACAAACACTTTGTCTTTACTTTTGTGAGTGATCATATCAGGCTGACCAGCTGTCTAAATCTTCCATCTTTATGTAGTTGTGATCATTATCCCCTGCATGGAGTTCCATGCTCCCCCTGTGATTGTGTGGGTTTCCTCCAGGTGCTCCAGTTTCCCCCCACAGTCCAAAGACATATTGGTAGGTTAATTGCCTTCTGGGAAAAAGGCCCTGCTGTGAGTATGAGTGTGTGTGTTTGTGTCTGTGTGCTCCCTGAGTTCGACTAGCATCCCATCCAGGATGTTTCCTGCCTGTATCCGCCTAATACTTGCCAGGAGAGATTACTCTGGCTCCTCCACAATCCTGTATTGGATAAAGAGTTAAGAAAACGGATGGACTTCTATCCTTTCAAACTTCTTCATTTGTGTATACTCTTACCTGTGGTAGATATAATGTCTGTTATTCTCAGTAAACACATTCTAATACCAGACAGTATATGGAGTTTATCCTGATTCGTGCATATTCTTTCAAGTACTCAGTCGATGATTTTAGTGTTTAGAGTTTAATATATTATTCAACTGTTTCGTACATTGCAGAAAAATAATAAAAAGGCACAAACCTTCACTAAAGTACATACAGTATATAACGTTAAGGGCTGTGTTAATTTTCTTTAAATTTCTATGTTTTAGACTGTTCCAATCTACTGTTTAAAACACAGAACATGTCGTGCTTCACTAAACCTGATATCAAGAGCCTTTGATGACACAATGTTTCTATGATGTGTTTACTTAAGCATGACTAGGCTCTGGTTAAAAAAATGTTCCTGTACTGCTAACTGAAATGGACCACATCATCTCTCCCCTGTTACAGAAAAAGGCACGTTGCTATGGAAATGGCCAATGATTCAAAAACTGTGTCTCTTTATTTAAACAGCCTGCTAATCAATGACAACATGGGGCCATTAGTGAGATTCTCTTTCAGCCAGAACTAATAAATGCCAATGGAATTCCAGATTATTCTGCTTCAGGACAAATCCACAGATGACTCTCAGGTTGCTCATCACCCACAAAATATACCTCTAGCTCCTGGCAATTTGTAATGGTTTGCCAGCTGTGAGGTGATACCGGTGATGAGGGCAGTCACAGTGAGAGAAATGATTCTGCAGGAACACGATTGTATCGAATGCTCTGGGCAACAAAATCCAACAGCTAATATAGTGAAAGGGCATTTCGCTTCCCTGTAATGAAAATGTCGACTGTAACGTGTATAAGAGATACCACTGCAATTGTCTGGTGGTTTCAATTACACACATATACAGATTGTTGTCAGTAAGCTACAGCAGTGCCCACACACTTTGAATGTGTGATATCGAAGTTTAGGCCATGACAAAATTCAAACATTTATCATGTAAATAAATAAAGCTACCCTTAAAAAAGGTCATTTAAAATGTCAGCTGGTATCAGGTTTGGTTTGGTTCTTCATTGAGGATCAAAACTGGTTTGAATCTTGTTTAGATTTGTGTTCCTAAGAAATGTGAAGACATCCCTCCATGACACTCTCGGTCCACTCTCTAATATTCACAATGGATAAATGCATCCCAGCCACTTCACTACACTGGCACGGTTTGCTTACTAAATATCTAGGTATGTTTTGCATCACAGCTTTCAGGCATGCGATACAGTTTTTGACCATGCCTGCTCACATTGGCACAAACAGTTCAAAAAGTACCCTGTGTTATGTATTTTTCCTGGGCAAACATTTTATTTCGCAAGAAGACCATTGAAAAATATGATTTAGCTATTAATGGCATTTGCATATAAAATAAGTTCACTTCTTTCACCAACAATTACTGCGATTCAAACTGACTAATACATGTGTGGGTGTAAGTTTACATTCAAGAAGATGAGATCTGACATTGTCTCAAATTAGATCTAGCACAAATTATGTGGCTAAGGATCTGCGCCTGTGGCTGGAAGGTTGCTGGTTCAAATCCCACAGCTGGCAGAGGAATCCTACTCCATTGGGCCCCTGAGCAAGGCCCTTCACCCCAACTGCTCCAGGGGTGCCGTATAAATGGCTGACCCTGCGCTTTGATCCCAAGCTTCTCTCTCTGTCTGTGTCTCATGGAGAGCAAGCTGGGGTATGTGAAAAGATGAATTCCTAATGTAAGAAATTGTATAGGGCCAATAAAGTGATGTTGTTACAGTATGTTAAGTGCAAATGTGCCAGTGTTACAATTCTATAGCTATAGGTCTTTTCAGTATTACAAATTCTTAAGATTTATTGAAAAACAAAATCAGAACAGCTAACACTTGCCTACCCTGGCTGAGAGCCTCAAAAGAAATAAAGCTTTTAAAGAAATATATTTATTTATTAAATATATAAAGCACACTATATAATTTGTATGACAACCATTAGTGTAAAACATATAATTTAACTTTGCATTAAGAACAAAATGTTGCATTATAAAGCCAAATTCCTCATTGAATAAAAGACAGCCTATTCTCACAACCCACAATTACATCTAAGTGCATTTTGCTTGCACATATATAGCACCAGAATTCCACAAGCACTCTGTATAAAGTGCAGTCTTGAGAACACTGCAGATACACTATAACACTCAATGAGCCTGCAAATATTATGTTGTGAGTGGTATAGATTTGTGCTGATTAAAAATAAAGAAGATCAATACTGCTTCTTGTTGGCTATTTCAGATGATAATTAAATGAAGCTAATGGTTGAGTCACGGTACCCTGAACAGTTGTGAGGGGAACTCTAACACTTTACTACAATTGCAGGTCATTTAAGAATTCCTGGAATCAATCAGCATTAAGATGAGCAGCTTATATATACAGTATTTTGCCAACAACAAAACAGTCAGGTCAGTTTTGGGAAGAAAAGGAATCAAACATTGTGCTTGAAGAAACTGGGAACCCCACCACTGCGGCCAAGGGGAAGTGAATCATCGGGAACAGTTGACTAAGGAAGTTTACTGCCATGTATTCGTACAAAACAGAAGGAGAAAGACCGGGAGAAGAGGACAACAGCAACGGAGTTTCCTTGCTCTACACTTTCACCCACCGACCACATTTCACATAAAGAGCAACCTGAATGAGG